GATGGTCACTGCATTATTTACTCATTATTTGTGGTCTTGACAGAACAACATATTGGTGTCCAAATTGATAGTACATCCCAGTTACTGAACATCATAGAAGTCGAAATAATGAACAACCTAGATTTTTATGGGCCATTCCTGGGTAACATTGACATGGTGAAGCAGTGGCGTTTATACAAGGAGAAAGGTTTATATGACCAGGATATTGTTGATCTGTGTCTCCATGCTGTAGCCAATTGTACAGGAATCACAGTTGATGTTATACAAGCAACAGATCATGGTATTAGGAATGTTGTTGTCGAACCAAACAAGCCTGGCATCTCTTCACATCGTACAATCCATCTCACCAATTCACATGATCATTACAATCCTGTGGTCAGTGCTCAAACAAAGAAGAATTATGAATGTAATCCAACATTAAGACAACAACTTGTTATCGAACATCCAAAGAATGAAAAGAAGCATGATGAAAAAGAAGATCGTTATGATTATATAAATCCCAATTTATACATCGACTCCTCTTCGCCTTTATCCTTAAACAACAGATATGCTGCTCTGGGTGACAGTTCTGATGACTGCTTCATTGTTGAACCTCATAATAAGAAGTGTCCGCATCTTTCTGGTAATTTTGCTGCAAAATCCTCAACATTTGATGAACAGTTTGATTTAAAGGACGAACAGATTAATGCAATTGATCAAAAGAGTGATGCAAGTGATAAACAGAGTGATGCAAGCGATAAACGGAGTACTTCAAATGATGACGAGAGTCATTCAAGTGATGAAGAGAGTCATTCAAGTGATGAAGAGAGTCATTCAAGTGATCAAGAGAGTCATTCAAGTGATGAACTCAGCGATCCACTTAGAGTAATTGGTAACCGAACATATCTTAATGAAAGTGTTTGGGAGGGGTGGAACACCAGAATGTTGAAAAGTTGCCGTTAAATATAGATGGTACACTAATTTTCAAGATTAAAGTACCTGGTGACTCAAATGCAATGGAAGCAGCGAAAGATGGCAGGCAGTGGCAACGGTATGTTCCTTCTTCTCGAAAAGGTTTTACTGGTACAAGAAGAATAGCAAATTGTTCTGGTACGCATCAGTGCCCCAGTAAACATTGTTCGTTTTTGAAAGAATTTAGTCAACCAAATACAACACAATTCATAGGAAGCGGACAGAAACGCAACTGTATGCACTGTAACACAAGATTGGTGTATGTTCCCTGTTCGGCCAGAAAAAGTTGGGAAATTCCAAAAGCTGGCAATACGATAACTGTCTACCATTATGGCATTCATACTTGCCCAGTAAAACCCCCGAAAAAGAACGTAAAACATCTTAAAAAATTGAAAGATAAATTTGCTGAAATGCCAAAAGTAACCCCCACACAAATGTCTTTTCAGTCCGTTATTGCTTCGATCGAGGGAGATGGTACGTGGATGAAATTGAAGATGTGGCCGAGCAATTCTCTGATGTTCATGCAATTAAGAATGCAAAGAAATTAGCTGCCAAACAAAAACGTCCACATGGGCACAGCTTTGAAGCCATATCTGTCCTAAAAAGGAAAACAGACATGAAAGATCCATTTCTTATTTACAAAGCCAATGACAGAACCATCAATGAGCGACCTAGCTACGTCTTTAAATCCAGTAAATTACGGGCGAACATGGCGATAAATATGGATCATGCTGGTGATCACGTGCTTTCTACAGAGTACTGTCATTTTGACGGCAAGCACAATCGTTGCAAAAATTTTGTTACCTTAACTGCAAGTGTATATCATCCTGTTCTTCGTCGAATGGTCAAACTCGCTATAATGGAATGTAATTCGGAAAATGAAGAAAATCTCGTACTGTTTTGGAATTTGTTTAACGAAGTATTACGCAAGGAAAGTGGGAATGAGGATGCATTTTTTGATCCATCTGGTTTTATCTGCGATGAAGCAGGAGCAAACTGGGCTTCCTTGAAGTCGGTTTTTGGCGAAGACGTCCTGCAGCGCACCAAAGGTTGTGAGTTACACTATCTCCAATCACTTCATAGACACGCAAACACACTTAATAGTAGAAAGTCGAAACATCAGTTCAAGAAACTTGGCAATAATTTGAGGGAGGCGGCCACTCCTGCAGGTTTTCAAGCTGCTCATGAAGCGATTAAAAGTTTTATAAATGCAAAACATGAGAAACGTAAACACCTTTGTCATTGGCTTCAGTGGTGGGTGGAACGAAAGACACACTTTTCCAAAGCATATTGCCCCCTTTATAACGCGCCAACGACTAATCTTTCAGAGCCTGTGAACTCTAGTTTTCAAAAAAGGGGCAATTCAAACATCAGTCTTATTGATGCAGCATTGGAAGATGTTGCAGAAAGTGTATTACTTGAGAAAATGTGGCTTCGTCAGAGTAGAGGTGAGAAGGTTTATGGGACAGGACCCACCCAACCACAACTTCAACAAAGAGAAAACAGTAATCAGGTCAGAAGAGCAGAACAAATAGTGAAAGAAATGGACATATATGGCAATCCAGATGCAGTTGTTAGTCGAGAAGAAGCCACAAGAACCGCAATTATTGATCCCCAGTGCAGCCATAGACCAACGAAAGCCAAAAAAAGAAGGCGAAATATCTCCTCAGCTACCAAGAAAACCACAGCAAAGAAGCGCCATGTTAGTATGTTCGACGACACTGATGAATACTCATCATCATCATCGGATAACTCCTTGCCGAAAGATTCAAGACCAAGGGTGTTCAGGAAAAAGAAAAGTTCCCTATTTCGAAAGTCCTTAGAAAAAGCAAAAACAAGCAAACACAAAATAGCTGTTTCTAGAATTTCGAGCGCCAGTGAAAACGAAAGACGGATATACCATTTCAAGCTCTGGAAAAGAATATAATGTCAGCGTTTGTCAGGTTCCTTCATGCACCTGTCCTTTTAAATCGAATAAACCTAATGAACTTTGTAAGCATCTGATTTGGGTGTATCTGTTTGTTCTTGGAATAAAGGAGGAGAGCAACTTGATACAGCAAGTAGGTCTCACAAAGTCAAAATTAAACACGATTTTTAGAGATGCTCCGGTTAGCATCCCGAAAGACGTTTTGCTACCAGAGGGGGCAGAAAACACCAACGCTAGGGCCTTCTTACGACATTCAGCAAACAAAAATACTCAAGAATGGTTTATTACGCGAAAGGACCATCCAAAAACTGCGCATTGTTCCGGACTATTATGCTCCAAACCAATTGAAAAAGGGGATCTGCATTTAGCAGTGAAAGGGTTGTTTTGCCCACCAAACAAGGGAGTGGCAGTTCCTACAACTTTTAGATACTGCATCAGCAAGGAATGTGTAAAACACAAGAGATCAAGGTCTAATATTTTGCCCTTGGAAAACAATGTTGTCTTCCTAGATCCTAGAGCGAGACCTACTGATAATGAAATGGAACTTATAGCTGTTAGAGGGTTCAAAATCAAACTAAAAATTAGTGTGGGAGAGGGAATGTAGCCAATTCATACAATTATATAGTTTGATTATGAAAGAAACAATAGGGTTATTTATACGGGACAAAATAAGTCACGACTTACATAAGATGCGTCTGATATAAGCGTCTTATATAAGATGCATCTTATATAAGCGAGTTATCGTATAAATGGTTCTCTATACGGCTCTAGTCTTATTTACTTGCTATAGCTATGTTGTTTTGGTTGTTTTTGTTTTAATATGCAAGGCTAATAATTTTACGTTGTTTCAAGTTATCCAAAATGTCTTATTTAAGACGCGACTTAAATAAGAATTTTATACCTTTTATATGACAAACTCGCGTCTTATTTCAGTCGCGTCTTATGTAAGTCGCGACTTATTTTGTTCCGTGTAAATGGCCCTATTATGCATATTGCAAATTATGTTGATATTTTTACTTATTCATGTTGATATTGCTTTGGTTAATTAGTTATTCCAGAACACTCATGCATGTTACTAGCTAAGACCCCGTTTACACGGTACACTACCGAGCCAATATTTGGGGCACTTCCTCGGGTAGAAGAATTTGCATCACAGATTACGTCATCAGTTAGTTATAGTGATTAGTGTTGAGGTTAGGGTAAGGGTTAGATTAAGGATTAGGCTTAGAGATAGGGATTGGGTTATATCTGACAAACAACACAACTAGCCGATCACGTGATCAGTTCTCCTCTACCCGAGGAACTAGCCCGAATTTGGGACCGGTTTGAAATTCGTCCATTTCAGCCGTGTAAACACACGAGAACCACAGAACCGGACGAATTCGAGACCCCCTATCAGGACGAATTTGCATGTAAACAGGCGAAAAAGGACGAATTTCGTCCGGTACCGTGTAAACGGAGTCTAAGCCTATATTAAGGAGTGTCTTTTGTAGTTGTATGTATACCAATCATCAAGCAATGAATTCATATTAAACAAACGTACGATTTTTCGTGTTTATTAGGCCCGTTTCATACGCCGTACTTCACATGCGCCGAATACATTAAAGACAATAGGTAATGAGCTGAAATTCCTCATTATCTATTGTTTTTAATGTATTCGATACATGTGAAGTACGGCGTATGAAACGGGCCTTAGTCTTTTCTGTCAGAACATCTAATTGAGCCACAAAGTTAACAGATTTTTTTCTGTTCTTATTGTGCTTCTTTTACGCCACAACAAGTATTTTGTGTATTTTCATTTTGTTAAACTAGCAACTCGCAACTAGCAACTAGCATGTCAACCTAACTCGTTCTGAAGCTGTACCTTCCTGGTATGTAAGGAATCTCCAAACATCAAGCTTCATATTGACATAAAATGGAGACACTGATGAACTCTTCAAAGCAGATAATATCCCTGCAGCAAAGTGATGACCTGCCTCTTGAAGCTTCTCGTGACTTGGCTTTGGAGGGTTTTCAGAAAATAAATTTAAACTTGAATGGTAAAATATAACTGCAGTACAGTGTATGACATGCAGTTGTTTCATTCAAAATGTCAAACAGAACAACATGCACTATACCTTATTAAGTGTTCTGGTAAGTTTTCGGATGGCTCGCAAGAACAGTCTTGCATTAGCCAACATTGCCATTTTATCAAGTACTCATGGTCTGTCTTAATAGGGAAAAAATAATTATTCACAGCAAGTCACAACACAACTTTGCTATTACACTTTGGTGGGGATCTGAAGTATAATTAGTATGTATCAAGAAAGTTAAAGCACAATTCAGAAGTTAAAATATAAGTAATGTATAAAAAATCTATAAAACGGTTGACAACAAGTTGTATTTAATATATATATTTATAATAGCAAATATTTTCATATTTATAATTTCATACGGATAGTCAAAAAGTATTTGTAAAGAAAAACTTACATGTTTTTCATTTCGCCGTTTGATGATTCTCTCCACATCGTAAATACGATTATTTTTCGAACCTTTTTTGGACTTTTTCACATTGTATATAAAACAACAGATGAAAGCGCATTTAACTGTGCATAATCGACCTCAAGAAGACAATGCTTTCTTGCGCCATGTTGCAAAATTGCCGTGCTAATGGGGAAAACTGTATACCAATTAGCAGGCTCAAATGTACAGCATTTCTGGCCATGTAGTTGCTTGCTTCCTTAAACGTCAAATGTCAAAACACTACAGTGGGTTTATTTTCTTCACCAACTTGGCTAACCTGCAAAGTTATTGATGAAACCATGCCTGAATGCTTCAAGACAAGGGTTATAATTGATTGTACTGAAATCTATCTTGAAACCCCATCCTTGTGCAGAAGCCAATCAGCTAAATTTTCAATTGATTGCTGAGTATTTCTCCTAATGGGTTCCCAAGTTTTGTCCCCAATCTGTATGCAGGCAGAGTAAGTGACAAAAAGTTCACCAGTGACTGTGGGATTTTGAAACTTTTAGAACCGGGCATTGAGGATGATTTGCCAGCTGGGGTAATATTAAATATCAACAGACAGAATCAGCTTAGCAAAGAGGATGAAATACTAATGAGAAGGGTAGCCTCAGTCTGTATGTTGAAAGGGCAATTGCCAGAATAAAGAGCTTTAGGATCATGCAGCAAGTTTCTCTGTGCCCCCATTGATAAGTGCGAATTAACAAACAATTATAAGTAATACCATATGAGGGAAATTAGTGATTAAATGTCCCCGAAACCCGAGGGAGGTCTACAAACCTCCCAAGGGTGAGGGACATTTAATCACTAATTTCCCGACATATCATGGTATTAGTTTGTAATACCATGGTTAACGAGGGAATCGCACATGGTGTGTTGCCTGTTTTGAATGCTGTTTGATTGTCTTATGATTGTGGTACGAACACTTTTCATATATATGCACGCGCAGAAACACATCTCTGTGTTAATTGGCGTTTTAGTCATGCGCATAAACGGAATTTTCTCCCACAATTGAAATGTTCAAGATTAGGGAATAAAAGCTGGCAAAGTGATTGTTCAAATGTGTACGGGGCGGTGTCGTCAGATACTGTCCATAGTTGTGCCGATGATTTTCAATGAGGTATAGCTCTCCAAACAGAGGTAATGAGATATGCTTTTGGTTCTAAATTTCCCTCATCAAGCATACAGGGGAAAATTAGAAGACAAAGAAATCCTTTGCGTAATGAGGGAAATATGTGATTAAACATCCCTGTTGAAACAAAAGAAACCGAGTTAACCATGGTATTATTGTCGTAAATATATTGCTTATGATATCTTTGTAACTTAACATAATACAGTATGTTCAGTGTTAGGATGTGATTAACTTGGTAAAACACACTGAATGAAATTTAAGAACAATTTGTTAGCCTGAGGACGGATAGTAAACTATCAAAAACCTCTTGTGTGATCCTTGATTTAAATTAAAACCACAAAATTATGAAATTAAACAACTTTCTCAATATCAACCACACCGTACTACAGAAGAAGAATTATAGTCTGCCTTATATCTGGGCCTTCTTCTTAAAACCAACAAAACTAAACAAAACAACTAATGTTACAACAATGACAAAGGAGTCAGTCTTCTGTTGGTTTTTTAGCTGGCACTTCTGCTTCTTGTGCCGAGACACTGCCATCAAGTGGTGGGAAAAAATTGTCTGCACCAGCCAGTAGTGATATATGTTGCAACTGACTGTCAAGATTCTTTAAAACACGAGTATTATAATATCTCCAGTAAGTAAACTTAAACAAATATAGCTTGTTGAAAACCGTACTGCTATGAATAAGCACTTATATCACCATTAAAGTTTTTTAGACCTGTATGTATTCCACTTTCAGGTATGAATTTATCAAGAAAATGTGGTATTTCTGTACTAAGTACAGGGTGAAGAAAGTCAAGTGTATTTCTTTATAATGGTCTTCCTTGTAAAAGGTGATGGCACTATTTCATTGAACATTCAAGGAACAATTGCCTTTTAGAACAAATATGCACATTTTTATGCTCGAGTTACAATGTTTGATATCTGCATTTTATGTGATTCATACCTTATTTTTATTGGCTTTACTGTCGTTCCAATTGAAGTGTTCCTCAAATATTGATTCAATACATTACCTTGGGCTCACCAATTCATTTCATCAAGATATTTGCTGTGTTGGTGTAATGTACTTCAGGTGAATAAGATGCTTGTGTGATGTTACTCTGAGTGTATATCCACACCAGGCAGGCTTGAAAAATATGCCTGGCCACAGTGGGATTCGAACCTATGACCTTTGGAATACTATCCCAATATGAATACTATGTCAACTGAGCTATGCGGTCAGGTCGGTTCAAAACCCACTGTGGCCAGGCATATTTTTCAAGCCTGCCCAGTGTGGATATACACTCAGAGTAACATCACATAAGGATCTTATTCACCTGAGTACATTACACCAACACAGCAAATATCATGATTATTAGAATA